ATATGAGTGTACCTGCATACCAGTTTGTCAGGATTTGAGTACCTGCATACCAGTTTGTCAGGATATGATTACCTGCATACTAGTTTGTCAGGATATGAGTACCTGCATACCAGTTTGTCAGGATATGAGTACCTGCATACCAGTTTGTCAGGATATGAGTGTACCTGCATACTAGTTTGTCAGGATATGAGTGTACCTGCATACTAGTTTGTCAGGATATGAGTGTACCTGCATACCAGTTTGTCAGGATATGAGTGTACCTGCATACCAGTTTGTCAGGATATGAGTGTACCTGCATACTAGTTTGTCAGGATATGAGTACCTGCATACCAGTTTGTCAGGATATGAGTGTACCTGCATACCAGTTTGTCAGGATATGAGTGTACCTGCATACTAGTTTGTCAGGATATGAGTACCTGCATACCAGTTTGTCAGGATATGAGTGTACCTGCATACCAGTTTGTCAGGATATGAGTGTACCTGCATACTAGTTTGTCAGGATATGAGTACCTGCATACCAGTTTGTCAGGATATGAGTGTACCTGCATACCAGTTTGTCAGGATATGAGTGTACCTGCATACTAGTTTGTCAGGATATGAGTACCTGCATACCAGTTTGTCAGGATATGAGTGTACCTGCATACCAGTTTGTCAGGATATGAGTGTACCTGCATACTAGTTTGTCAGGATATGAGTACCTGCATACTAGTTTGTCAGGATATGAGGTTTTTTTGTTCAGTGTCCAAAACCGCACCTAAGGCTCCGGTGCCCTCTGGGCCGTTCGAGCGCTCCCTACATTTGACCGAGGCCGCTGGGAGCACCTACTTTGGGAAACACTGAATTAGGGGGGGGGGGACAGAGAGAGGCATAGAGACTGGTACACAATTACACATGTTCTTATTGCCTGAAAAAATCTGAAGGTTTAAGCCTCTAGTCTATTTAATTTAAATAAATTAAAGGTCTGTCTGTCGAAATCAATTTGTACTAGTAATCTTAAAACCAGGCTGTTAATATTTAATCAGATATTTTAAAAGAAACAATGACAAAGAATACGTCAAGTTGTTTTGTATTTTTTTTAAGTTCCTGCAGAAAAAAGTAAACGATAATATACACATGTAAAAATGGATAAAGGTGAAATTCCGAAAACGGGCCAGACTTAAAACGACCAACTTCTGTCATTCTGAAACGACAACAGTCGTATAGGATTTAATTAAAATTTAGATTGTGAAGAAACAACAAACTAACTTGATAGTTTATTATTATTTTTTTTAAAATAAAAAGGTTGGAGTTTTGTTTCTTGTTTGTCTTTCAATTTCAGTTGTTATTGATATAATTATTATTAAACTACTGGAAAAGACGTATGAATTGAATATCAATATGTGCAGAGACAGTGTTGCTCCGGGCGCAAAATAGTTGGCTCTCTTCCGAACTTCTACCCCCCGCAGTATTATTTAAAAATATGCCGGCTCCGTATAACGGTATAACGAAACAAATGCTCCAACAGGGTCTCAGCGATATGTTACTTGCGGACCTGTTTCTTATTGTTTCTGATTACCTGACAATTCTAAGAGACAATAGTATCAGACGACGATAATAGCGACCGTTGACACACTTTCCATTGTCGAACTTTCGGCTCTCCTTTCAACTACGGCCGGTAGACAACAGTAGACGGCCGGTTAGTCAGAATTCTGTCCCCTGGCTGCAAAGGTTAAATGAGCTACTTCAGTAAAATTTTTAAAATGCCCTCCACACCAATAAAACCAGCACAGTTAGATAGTTAGTTAGTCTTTCCTCTTGTGTCGAGTGCGGCACATAGGGCAGAGGTCATGACTCTCCATGCATGGCGGTTCGTTGCAATCCGTTGTAGGTCTTGGATGTTTGAGTGGCCCATGAGCGAGCCTTCCCTGATGATAGTTCTACGTAGGGTTTCCCTTGGTCTTCCACAAGATCTTTTCCCCTGTGGTGTCCAAATGAGGGCTTGGTAAGGAAGTCTTGATTTATCCATTCTAAGGGCGTGGCTGACATAGTTCCAGCGGTGTTTTCGTATAAAATTAGACACATACTCTTGCCTGGATTCTTGCCTTATTTGTGTATTTGTTCGGAAATCTGACCATTTGAAATTTAGTATTCTTCTAAGACATTTATTTTCAAAACTGTCTAATTTTGTGTCTAGAGTTTTTGTTGATTTCCAGCTCTCGCATCCATAGGTTAGTACTGGAATCACACAAGAATTGAAGATCTTGAGTTTTGTGTGTTTGCTAAGTGTCTTTGATTTCCAGATGTTAGACAGTTTATTGAAGGCACTAGATGCCAGTGCTATTCTAAATGGTATTTCTGGTGGGGTATCTCCTGTAGATGACGTCTTGCTCCCCAGATAAGTGAAACTGTTGACTTTTTCAAGGCTTTTGTTGTTCAGCGTGATATCAACTGAACTGTTGGTAAAGTCTAGAATTTTTGTTTTTGCTGTGTTAATTTGGAGTCCAATTTGTTCTGAGAATTTCTGGAGTCGATTGATTTTTTCTTGGGCGTCTGTACAGTTAGATAGCTGTAAACAATTTCTTTCCAATGGTACCTCATTTAGGCTTGTATGTCATTTCTGAGCTGAGATATGTAGGTTTTTGTAGAGATGAGATGTAAGAAACAGCCGCTAAAACTTGTGACCCAGAAACAAGAAGTTTTTTTCTGCGCAACCTACTGCGCAGTTCTGTATCGGCTTTGTTTATATTGGACTGTCATTGGACAAGATGGCAGGCAATCAGACACAGCCACTGGCTGAGCCAGCGATTGCCTGAAAAATGTCACTGTACATCTACCTAGCCACCGTTCAGAAAGAAATTGTATACACAAATGTAAAATTGGACGAAGAATTCAATTATAACTAGCATTACCAGGACGAGTAACAGTTAAAGCCTAAAGCCAACCTCGAATTTACCGATATTTTCAATCATTTTAATGATTAACAGAAAAACAGAGGACGTCCGGCTGTCGTAGACATGCGCTGTTAATGGGGTTCCCTCCTGCTGTTTTCAGCTATTTATAGCTGGTCCAAATTCCCACCAATTGCAAAATTTCATGAGAGATTTGGACCCATCCGGAAACCAGCCGAGATTTCCCGAAACAAGTTGCGAACGGTTTCCGGGTAACGGAAATTGCCGAAAAGACCGCCAATTGCCGAACACTGTAGTTGCTAGTTAAATGAATAGACCCACTGCCTCCTTAGCAAGCATGTCATAACCGGGACTAATTAGGGATTTTTTTCCGAAGTCAGAGGTCAACTTCCTGAATGGCAAGGAACCAACAGCCTGCAAGTAAGCCAGATCTGTGAATATGCATACAAGTTCTGGAACAAGACTAAAGTCCAGAAGTGGACAAACAACCAGAACTTTCAAACACTAGGAAGAAGATTATTGCTTAGTTTCCATGATGTCTTTCTTCTTCTTCAGCATTCTCAACCCTTGAGGTTTATTACTGCAGATAACACCCGCCTCCATTTGTCTTTGTGATTGGCCGTCTGTTTCCAGTTGGTCACTCCAAGTGATTGTAGATCTTCTTCTTCTGCCTTTTATCCCCCAATGAAGCATAGGCCCTCAACCATCTTACGCTAAGTCATTCTGTCCTTTGCTGTTGCATGTAGCTCTCCTCATATCTTCCCCATCTTTTAACTTGACTCTTAAGCTCCCTTCTCTATATGTTTTTGGTTTTCCTTTATTTCTATGCCTCTATGGGTTCTAGTGCAAAAACATTAAAGTTATATTATTTTCAGGTTTGTCCTATCCCATGTTAACGTCTTTTCTTCACCGTTTGGTTCACTAAAACTTGTTTAGTTCTCTCCCAAAGCTCAGCATTAGTAATTCTGTCTTCTTCGTCTTTTCTCTACTCCTGGAATGCCTCAGGGCATCATTTAATTCCCTCTATTCTGTGCAGGCACCAGTTAATGAATATTTGTAGTTTAAAAAAAAATATAATTGCTTTGTTCTCCATGTTTCTGCTCCATACAACAGTACTGATTTGACATTAGAATTAACAACTGTAAGTTTAGCTATCAGCTTGATGGGCAGCAATGGGAATTGTCATACCGTGTCGATGTAGAAGTTCTTTAATGTCATCAGTCCATGTTCTCCTAGGGTGGCCTCTTGATTTAACTTCAGATCTTTTCACGTGTAGCACCAGCATTGGTAGTTGTTCTGCTGCATTCTAACTAAATGACCAAACCATTTGGTCTTCTATTTCTCAATTATTGAGCTACATGGTGTTGTTCCTACAGTCTGTCTGATAATATCATTTTTAACTTGGTCTCGGAGGGTCAGTTGGCGGCTTTTCTCAGGCATCTCATTTTACTGGTGTTAATTTTTACATAGGTTAGTCTTTGATAATGTCCTGGCACCAGTAGCACAGTGTTTGTATGAATATGCTGTTTATAATCTGTTTCTTCGTGCTCATACTTATGTATGGCTGTCTTAATAACGTCTGAGAGGAGTTACCAGGGAATCTGGCCGATGCTCAACACTCAGGGGAAGGATGAGACGGATATACAATCAGACTGTTACTGGTACCATCAGAATTGGAACTCTTCACTTGCTGCTGAAGATGGGGATTGAGCACTTATGGGAGTGTCCTGAGTGCTGTGATGTCGATTCAACATTCAACATTTTGTCTTAATAACAGTGTCTGTTGGTATATGTTTAGTATTAGCTTTTAATTTCTTTTGACCTTCAAAAATTTCCTAGTGTTATGAAAGCTGCTCTTGCCTTTTTGTATTCATACTTTAATATCTCTATCGTCCCCCCCACCCCCCCCCCCCCAAACCCATATTTCTCTACATTACTGCCGAAATAGGTGTACTACTTCATGTCTTGAAGTGGGACACCATTAAGAGAAACCATATGACTATTTACCTGATTTGTAGATCTGCCTGTGTATTATCTCAGCTATCAATTTCTTGTTTACTACTGTACATTTCTGTTTCGTATATGCACTACAACTATTTCTTTATTTCCCAGATGAAATTCAAGCCGGGGGATTTTGTAGCAGTAAGATCAAAAGCACCATGGAGAGTATTATTTTTCGGAACCGATGAATTTTCTTTGGGAACTCTGAAGGCATTGCATGAAAACAGGTAGATCAGTGTTTTGTTGTCTGTTGTTTCTCTTTATATGGTCTTCTTCTTTCTGTTCCCCAGCTGTAAACTCCAGAGCAAAGTTTGGTTGCTCCTCCACTTCTGGACATTAGTCTCGTTCAAGAACTTGAATTTTGTGAGCATCTGTTTTATGGAACAGTCTGACGTGTATGCAGACTGTTTGTTCCTGGCCTCTGAGGCACATGTGCTCTGATTTAGTTATTTGTGTAAAAAATATAGCAAAGCTTGGTCTCTCTCTCTCTCACTCTCTGTCTGTCTCTCTGTCTGTCTCTCTCTCTTTGTGTCTCTCTCTGTCTCTCTCTGTCTCTCTCTCACTCTCTGTCTCTCTCTCACTCTCTGTCTGTCTCTCTCTCTCTCTGTCTGTCTCTCTCTCTGTCTCTCTTTCTGTCTCTCTCTATGTCTCTCTCTCTCTGTCTCTCTCTCGCTCACATGTTCAGTTTTATCTTTCAGTTTATTGCAAGCAAGTGATAAACGTGTTGTGGATACTCTGCACATTGCACACCCCTGGACCAAGAAACCGGTGTGTATTGATTTTTTGTTCTCTCTCAGTGAATTTGTTTTTTAGGAGTTGCTGGCTGAATGCCTAAGAATGCTGGGCTCTGTTGCAGGAGACCCAGGTTCGAATCCTTGGTAAGGCTAAGTTTTTGTATGTGTCTGGGAAAAAAAATAAAATCCTAACCTGCGCAGTCCGTGGCGGCCGCACTAACCATGCGGCCTTAAATCAGGCTGAAAAACTACGGAGACTGCAGAAGTGGCAAATACAGAAACAATTGCTTTAATTCCTTTGTGTATGTATGGGGTGTGTTTTCATTATTTTTTTCTTTCAGTTTATAATCAATTTAACAAACATCTCAAATTTGTTATAATTTAGTTGTTATGTGCTAGATTTTGATGAAAATTTCATGTTATTGGCATCTCAGGTTTTAACACATAAATACATTTTAGTAGTACCTACCAGACCACAGTGCAGACATTGTTCTCAATCCCTTATGGAAGCATTGACCACCGACCACTTTCAAATGTCAGGGAAAAGCTATTACCTCCATCACCATTAGTTATAACTTCACACTGCTAGTGCTTGAAAAATTCTTCTTTTTCATGTTCTCCTCCTCCTCTTTTTCTTCTTCCTTCTCCTCTGCTGCTCCTTCTTCTTCGTCTTCTTCATTGTGTTCACCAGCTGTGAACTTCAGCGAAAAGTTCTGATTGTTTGTCAAGTTCTGGACTCTGGTCTTATTCTAGAACATGAGTTTTGTGTGAACATCCATTTTAAAGATCTGACTTATTTGTATGCAGACTGTTGGTTCTTTGCCTTTCAGGCAGATTCACTCTGACACTGAAAAATATCAGCTTCAAATTACCAGCACCATTATGAAAATTGCATTTTCCTGTTTTGGGTAAACAAGAATCAACTTACTGTCTCCCCAGCAAGCATGTCATAGGTGTCGACTAACTGGGTGCTTCCTTCGAAGTTAGAGTGGATCTGCCCGAGCGGCAAGAAACAATCAACTGCACACAAATAAGCCAGTAAAACGGATGTACGCAAAACTAAGGCCTTGGCACAAAGCCAAAGTAAACTAGATAAAAAAAACCAGGACTTTCCACTGAAGCTTACAAGCTCACCACCGTGATGTCAGTTCAACTTGACACCACCGGGACGTCAGGTCAACTTGACACCACCAGGATGTCAGTTCAACTTGACACCACCGGGATGTCGGGTCAGCTTGACGCCACCAGGATGTCAGCTCAACTTGACACCACCAGGATGTCAGCTCAACTTGACACCACCAGGATGTCAGGTCTGCTTGATGCCACTGAGATGTCAGGTCAACTTGACACCACCGGGATGTCAGGTCAACTTGACACCACCAGGATGTCAGGTCTGCTTGATGCCACTGAGATGTCAGCTCAACTTGACACCACCAGGATGTCAGGTCAGCTTGACGCCACTGGGATTTCAGGTCAGCTTGACACCACCGGGATGTCAGGTCAACTTGACACCACCAGGATGTCAGGTCTGCTTGATGCCACTGAGATGTCAGGTCAACTTGACACAACCAGGATGTCAGGTCAACTTGATGCCACTGAGATGTCAGGTCAACTTGACGCCACTGGGATATCAGGTCAACTTGACACCATTTGGGTTGTCAGGTCAACTTGGCGCCACTGGGATGTCAGGTCAACTTGATGCCACTGGGATGTCAGGTCAACTTGATGTCACTGGGATGTCAGGTCAGCTTGACACCACTGGGATGTCAGGTCAACCTGGCACCACTGAGATGTCAGCTCATCAGGGTCAGGAGGTCAGGTAATTTCAGCAGCATTTTGATCAGCAATAGCACGGACAAATAAGAGAAGTTATGAGGTGAAGAAATAGTATCAAATAGGGACAGCTGGGTATTTGAAATTTAGGACAGCAAATAAAATGGTTTAAAAAAAAAAGGATAAGATTGTTTCAACAGACAGAGAGACAAAGAGAGATAGAGAGGAAGATGTGAGGAAGAGAGAGGAGAGTGTGAGGAAGAGAGAAAGGAGGATAGGGGAGACAGAGAGAGAGATACATGGAAGCTAGATATATAGGGTAGGTAGTTTGTTATCTCCAGGATTGCAACCTGCAAGCTCAGCACCTCAAGGATGAGAATCCCACATGTACAAATCCCCGCCCGCTCAGCTGTAATGTTAGGGCCCGGACAGTTACGGAGTAACCTAAAGTCCAGACCAAGCAGGTGAGGAGGGAAATGGAGAGAGGGGACTATGAGTAAGGGAGACAGTAATATTGAGAAAGAGGGTAGAATTGAGACAGGGAAAGAGAGAAGGAGTGAGGGAGAGGGACAGAGTGTGGGTGAAAGAAGGAGAGGAGCATATCATGTAGGAAGGAAGACAGAAAGAAGGAAGGTAGTTGGACAAGAGAAAGAAAAAAGGGGAAGGTGACTGGTTAAGAGTTAAAAGTTAAAGTCGAGAGGATCGACTTCATTGAGTGTTATCCCAGATGGCTTGGTCTCCCTCCGCAGAACAACTAGCCACCTGCCAAGAGCATTGCACATAGCACCAACTCCAGGGAAATCCGCTACAAACTGCACTCGTGAACTGAACAAAGCAGCCGTGAAGCGAACCCACGACTTTCAAAGTGCGAGGCAAATGAGGGAGTAGTAGGAAGCTTTAGAGGGAGAACTATAGATGGCTAACATTTTACCGTGATAAAGAATAACAAAGACTATAAGGTATAAAATCATTGTAACTTCTATTTATTGCCAGACTCCAGTGACAAGATATGCAACTCTCTGTGATATTCTGGGACATGAGTGGCCCAATGTAGAGTTGGGGAAAAGACACCATTACGATGTTGGAGTTTTGGCATCGTTTGGTCACCTCATTCCCAAAAGAATTGTTGAAGCTTTTCCGTAGTGAGTGAAGTCCCCTTCTGTCTCTTGATTGTTTTAGAAATTACATATGTTAATTACTTTTTATCACTGAATCTTTATTTATCTCTAAATTGCTGTATATCTGTGAATCACTTTGTCTTGTATTTGCTTTATATCTCTTAATCATATTATGTGTCTTAATCATGTTGAATCTCTTAATCACTTCATCTCTTAACGATGTTTTGTTTCTTTTTTGCTTTATATCTATTAGTCATTGTATATCTCTTAATCGCTTTATATCTGGGGGGAGGGGGGGGTGTCTCTGTGATGAACTGATTAGAGATATATTCCTCATGCTCTGAAAGTTTGTGTGTGCGTGCGGTTTTAACACATTAATGTGAAACCTGGACGATTAATAAACAAGCCAAACAGTATCTTGAGGCATCAGAGATGTGGTTTTTCAGAAGAATCCTTAGAATTCCTTGGACAACCAAACAGAGCAACCCAAATGTTTTGAAAGAGGCAAAGGTTCGAAGACAACTTATCACAAACATCAGAAAGAAACAGTCATCAGTATTTTGGTCATGTTATGAGAAGAGGGAAAATAGAACATGCTGTGACAACTGGAAAGATCTGTGGAAAAATAGATAGAAGAATACAGTGAGAGAAAATTCTTGACAGCCTTTTACCATGGCCCCATGCAGGGGTGCCAACACATGAAGTGATACACGCAGTTGCAGATTACGGAGAAGCATGATCATCCGTGTCAGTCGGCAAGACACTTGATGATGATATATATGGTTACAGAACAAGAACATTTGAATGCCAAATTCTGTAACCAACAATGTACAACATTAATACAACGCTGAGTCAGTTAATCACCTCAGACTGCAAAGCTGTTCACACAACAATACATTTCCATCTTCTTCTTCTGCGTTCATCCGAAGATGTAATTGTGTTGTATCTGTTTACAGCATGGCTGCGATATTTGCACCTTTCGGCCAACACATCCGACTTTTGCGGGCATTTGTTGACCGGGTTAGCCTTCCCGGTACATTTCTCTCTATAGAGTAAAGTAATATATTGCATTAATTTTAATCAGGGAGCTCCCTTTCTGTGTTTCAGGGCCCCATTGTGGGGAAAACAAGAACAGACCCACTGCTTTCTCAGCAAGCATGTCTCGACTAACTGGGGGCTTCCTTCAAGTCGGAGTACATCTGCCTGAGAACCGACATTCCAAATACAAATAAATGAGATCTGTGAAACAGACGTGCAAGGAACACCGAGGTTCTGGAACAAGACTAAAGTCTTGAGATGGGCAAACAATCAGAACTTTGGAACAAGACTAAAGTCTTGAGATGGGCAAACAATCAGAACTTTGGAGCAAGACTAAAGTCTTGAGATGGGCAAACAATCAGAACTTTGGAGCAAGACTAAAGTCTTGAGATGGGCAAACAATCAGAACTTTCTGCCGGATTTTACAGCCGGTGAACGGGAAGAAGTAGAAGAAAAATCAGGCAGTCTTATTTCCTGTTCACACTATAATACAGTAGTGAGCATACTTTGGATCTTTTCTCCAGGCAATGCCGGCGTGGTGGGTAATGATCAGGCAGACAGATTGGCTGGATCTGAATTGATACATGACAAGGCAGATATGGTCAAGGCCCTTTGGGAACAAGCAATGGAATCAGTAGAGAAACAAGATTATTACAGCCTGGAGAGAATAAGGCATTTGGGTGGAACCAGGTCTGGCTGGCTCACTACACTCAGAGGAAAGGCAAGACAGACATATAACCAGATTGTGACCGGTACCATCAGTATTGGAACTCTGCGCTGGCTGCTGAAGATGAGGACGGAGCAAGCATGGGAATGCCCTGAGTGCTGTGATAACAATTCTTGACTCAGCTCAGCTCAACTTTATAATCCTCTCATCATTACTATAAACACTAGCCAGTGCTGCGTTGTTTGTTTTCAGTGGGATTCTGAATGTACACCCCAGTTTGCTGCCAAGATGGAGGGGGGCTGCCCCATTACATCACACAATTCTGAATGGTGATGTCAAAACTGGGATCAGCATTATGTCTATTAGGCCAAAACAGTAAGTCTCTTCTTCTTTGGGGGGGGGGGGGGGAAGGGTGGGGGGTTTGTATGCTCAAGTCTGATCATCACCTGAGCTGCCTCTATGAATTCACATGTTTGAGATAGGTGGAGACAGACATAGCAGCGCTTCAGAGGTCCCTGGTTCGTTAGCGTCCTTTTTCTTGGTGTCTTGGGAAATGAGTAGGCAGATAGACTGGTCAGTTCTGCACCACTTGGTTGTGAATGGATGTATGACAAGCTAGATGTTGTGGGAACCCTTTGGGAGCGATTGAATTGTACAGAGGCACAAATAGATGATTACAGTCTGAGGATAATGGTGCTGCGAGGAGTTACCAGGGGATCTGGCAGATGCTCAACTCTCAGGGGAAGTGCGAGATGGATGTACATGCAGACAGCTGCTGGTACCATCTGAACTGGAACTCTTCACTTGCTGCTGAAGATGAGTACAGAATGCTTATGGGAGTGTCCAGAGTGCTGTGATGTTAAATCTTAGTTCAACATTCGCATGGCAGTTGCAGGTTCGTGGTTCAAAGCTTGCTCTACACATTTTTTTCTTAAAGCCCGATGTCTCTTCATAGTTGTGGTATAGTGGGCAGGCCTGCAGAATGTGCTCAAGTTGTTTGTGGTCCATCTGACATCCACACTGGGGACATTCCACCTTGTACATCATTGAAGTGTCGGAGGGAGACATAACATTCGTTGATGAGCTCTGTCAAGAGCACTATTAATACTGATGTTCATTTCTGTAAGGCTGTTCTTAATGCCATCACTCCATATTTTCCGAGGTCTTCCACTCACTCTATACCCGCTGTAACATTTTAGTGTGGCTCGCTGTGGCAGATAGTACCAGGGCATTCTTGTTAGGTGTCCAAACCACTTCATTTGTTGTTCTTTGATGACTTGTAAGACTGCCTTTATTCCTAGCATTTGTCTGATTTGGTATTCTGTCTTTGCTTGAAACTCCTGCAGCTCTTCTAAGGCATTTCATCCTGTTGTCACAATTTAACGTTCATTGGAGGATGTAAGTGTCCATGTTTGGCATTGACAGCATAGTGTTTGCCAAAAAATAATTCTGATAAGATTCACTTTAGTACCAAAGGGTCTGTGGGGACTGAACATTCTTTATTTTAGGCATGAGGTAGTTGAGCCAGCAGTGCCCTGTTCTTAGATGGGAAATTATTGTATATTGTTTTCTGCTGAGTCTGTTGACAGTAAGCTTGTGTCTTAGAATTTTGTTGTAGATTCTTATGTTGTAATTGCCCAGAACAGTGATTCCCAAACTGTGTGCCACGGCGCCCCAGAGAGCTGCGACCTCCTCACAGGGGCGCCGCAAAATATTCAAAGATAAACATTTTTTTTTTTTTGTAATTTGATCTCTGACATACGAATAGTCATACAATTATTTAGGTTAGAGCGCCGTGGAAAAATTGTAATTGAAAAAAGGCTCTGCGACTATGAAAAGTTTGGGACACACTGGTCTAGAATGTTCTTGCAACTTTTTATATTGTAACTGTCCTAAAATATGGTTTAAAATTTATACATTTGAACTGTCTTTTGTGTTGCTAGTTCACACTTTGTAACTCTTGGAATATTATGAATTCATACTTTGCAACTATCTTTGGAAAGTCGAAGCTAGTTCATATTTTAAAATTGTTACAGTTTATCGCTTATGTGAGTTCTTTAATTTGAGCTATTTCATAGTCCACAATTGCAGTTTTTTATAGACATACTTGGGGTTTGTCCCTGGAGTTGCAGAGTTCATGCTTTGTGTGTCACTATCGGCAGAACACTAGCCATATTTGTAGGAGACCGAGCCATATGGGGTAAAACTTTATGCAATGAAGTTGATTCTCTCCACTTTAAACTGCTTTTATAGGTTGATCAGATGTAATCAGTTTGACTCT